CCCCCCATCTTATTTTTATTAGGTCCCCCCTGAAACCCCCCAACTCTTGGGGCCAAAACCTGTGAATAATGTGTCAATATTTTGCGGGGTGGGAACTACCGAAAAAGCGCCAGTATTTCCAGCATATTTATGAAAATGTTATCGATCATAATTATAACGATCGATATGTGAGCTGTAATCAGTTACTAGATCTCTATCTAATCTAAACTGGCCCACCCTGCATCATTAAGTATGAAACTGAACAACCAAGTTGAGTTGACCTTGGCGGGGCAAAGTTTTAATTATATATATTATATATATATATCGACCAACCAATGAGACTGCGTAGCGATCACGCACTCTCAGCTTGCTGGGGTAAGAGGGGTTGGGAAGAGGTCACGGCTGTTGGTTCTGTGCGATGTGATTTTTAAAAAACCCATAATAATTACAGAAAAACTGAAGCACACAACAAAGTGAAATTAAACATGTGTGTGTGTGGAAAGACAAATTATGGTGGTGGAGGTAATGATAATGCTGTAGTAATGGTGGTGGAAAGACCCTGAGTTGTCGGTTACTGTGTACGTAGACACTGCCATTGGGCAATGAGAGTGCTGTCTTTAGACTTCTTTACCCAATTACTGTGTCCTTGTAAGTAATTCTAGTTCTAATTCTGGTTTTACGAAAAATCCCCCAACAAGTATTTTGTAACCTCCTTACAACTTACGCTCACATACAAGCCGGTTCCAAAAACTGAAACGTTTTGTCTGGACCCGAGCCCGATAGATATTTAACCCATATATATTATTTGGACTCGAGTCCGAATAGCTAAAAAATCTAATTAGACTGAACTACAGAGTCTATGTTTACAGTAGAGAGTTGGGCAGTACGGTAGTACGGTCAAACATATACATGTATACATGATACTGCCTACCTTGGAACAAGCATGAAATTGGTGGTTGACGGGATGGCATCGATTGCTATCTTGACAAGTGGTAGACTGATCATCATAATCCGATGCCTTGCCGACTGGCGTGGGCGATCATGGACCTCCACTTCATTTTATAAATCTTGCATTGCAGCGTTGGTTCTTGCTGTTCCCAGCCATGTTGTCAACTTGTTCAGTTTCTCTTCCCTCTGTCTGCCCCTGCCTCTCTTTCTATCAAACTTGCCTGTTGCTACAATATTCTCCAATGCTTCTTTCCGCATTGTGTGTCCAATGAAAGCATGCCTGTGATCGCTTTCATATTCATCATAAGCTGTCGTCTGCAATTTGCTTCAACCAAGTCTTCTTCATTTGTTTTTCTAGCTGTCCATGGAATACACAGCATGCATCTTATAATGAACCACAACTCTGTCGCCACAATTGTTCTTTCCAGCAGTCTATTGATTGTCCTTGACTGATAGAAGAGACAAAGCGTGGACTTTCAGTCTTGCCTCATCTACATCTGATTCTGTGTTGTGCAATTGCCATGGGCAGAGTCTAGGAAAAAAACCAAGTGAAGCTATCAATAAAATGATGACTATTTGGTGGAGGGTTTTGTTCATGATCTTCTCCCTCCCCCCTCCCCAAGAAAAACAAACAAAACAAAAACACTAAACAAAACAAAAAACACATTTTTCATCCACCCCCGCCCTACAATGACAAAGCCAGAATGTGAATAAGAATAAAAGAACCAAAAAAAAAAAAGAAAGTCTTCTCTCTGTCCCCATCGTTTTGTATGCAAGAAAAATTCTGAAATTATGCAAACTGAGCCCAAAAATGTGAAATTATGCGATTCTCAATTTTTAAAAAGAACGATACAGGAAAATTCAGAAACTATGCAAAAAATGATCAAATTTTTGCTAAATTATGCGGGGTTTATAAAACAGTCTAATCTATCTCATAGAAATAACCCAGAGAAGAATTCCACAAGGGATGACCACTCCACTATGAGGCAGAGTAGAATAGAGGGTGGAATGTTTCGGGTAAGGGTTTGGTTGGGTTAGGGTTAGGGTTCTAGGTCTCTCATATATATATCATGTTTGTTGGGGTGGTTGCTCGTTGCAGAAGTCCTTCCTAAAAATAGAAGGGACTGCTTTTCCAAGATTCCCTTGAAAATTTTCAAATTTAAACCATCAACGTTCAGCTCGTGGCCTATTTATAAAAATTTAGATAAATTCTGTACTGTTTAGCTGTTATGATCTAATTGTAATATTTGAAAATTGTACCTTTTAAAAATTCTAATCTGTCAATCTTTGTCTTTGTTGACTCATGCTACCCAGGACATCCCCCCCCCTTTTCCTAGTTGAAAAATAAATAATATACAGCTGTTGTCGCCCTCTCCTTGCAGATTGTTACTGTTACTGACGTTATTATTGCAACAGCTAGTGATAACAGGACAATTTGACTGTAACATTATTTATAGATAAAAACAGTCAGAACCTGCTCTCACTCTTAATTGCCAATTGTATAAAAAACAATCACCCGTACAAACAGCCAATTCCCCCCCCCCCCCCTCCCAGGCAGTGCTACTGATTGAAGTGTCTTTAGGCTATTCCCAGAGGGGGGACATTAACATGTTCTTATGCACAGTA